TAAATAATGATTGATTTGTTATAGAAGTGTCATCCTAAAAATATAGATTTATGCGTAATTCATCTATGGGAAGGAAAGTCCAAAGATCAGCGACGTTAATGATTCGATGCTCTGTGATTGTGGATTTTCTATACCATGCGTTTCAATGAATTCTGTGCCTTCATTTGGGTCTGCGTAATGTTGAACAGCAATGGAAGTATTGCTGAATAGGTCCTGAGGTCTTAGAGGCTGACGGCCATTACCATTTCGTGGACCACCAATATTCTGAGGCCTTTGCAACTGGGCATTATTATTTTGAAGTTGAATGGTAATAATTTGCGCCGTAGATTGACTCATATTATATAAGTTTTTTTTTTAAAAAAATGGAGAAAGAGGCGAAAAGTTAAAAATTTTATATTTCTCTTAATAGAATTTCAAAATTAATGACTAGGTTAGTTCTATTGGGTATTTATATTTTTTTTTGCATCCATATAAACTCATCGCGTCAAAAGCTGCGATTTTATAAAATATTGAAAGTTTTCATTCTAAAAGGAAATTTTGTTATAATGAACTAAAAAACTTTTATGTACCAAATAAAATTATGTATATCTAATTTAAATAATTTTAAATCTTTCATTGGGTTAATTTGATTTTAAAAATACGACGCAATTATATCTTAAGTTATGGTGGCCACTATTAGTAAAATTTGCATCAAAAATTTGCATCAAAAATTAATTTTTAATTATGACGCACACGAATATTTTTAGGGAACGCCTATTTACACCATGAAAATTTGCTATTTCTGCCATGCTTTTAACATGAGTTTCAGCCATATAAGCATGATTTCATGGTGGTTCCCTAAAACATGTTATTTTCAAATTGAAAAATAACATTCGTCAATTAATAATTGACATACATTGACATAACATTTCCATAATTTGACGTAATTTATCATGACAATAGGCTTGTCATGTTTATGTAACTGAAAGTCATATGGAAAGTATGGCAGCATGGTGGAAATAGCAAATGTCCATAGTGGAAATAGCAAATGTCCATAGCGGAAATAGCAAATGTCCATAGTGGAAATAGCAAATGTCCATAGTGGAAATGGCAAGTGTCCATAGTGGAATAGCAAATGTCCATAGTGGAAATAGGGGCAGCAGAGACCGTTAATGTTACACGTATATTAAAACTGGTGAGTGATTATATCCATCACAATTGAATCCAATATAAATAATTTAATTTGTGATTGATCACAGGAGGGAGGGATTCACTCTG